TATTTAATCACTTGAAATAAAATAAATGAAGAATAAAACTTAAGAAATTTATTGGTCATTTACTTACTGATTCTAAAAGCACAACATCATTTTATAGTTTTATATTACTGATATCTATAAACCATTTTGTGATTATTGCTATTCCTTGATTAAAGTAGTTTTAGCGACATGCCTGGAACACCACAGCACATTGAAACTGTTGATTTAAACAGTAGAGAGTTAATTCTGTTTGAGTATCTGGTTTCAGCCGTAGGTCGGTGGTGGGAGGGACCAGATGCTGACGACAAATTATAAAACTGGTTGTACTTCCAGGGTTTGGCCTGGATGTTTCTGATGCTGCTGCTTGAAGCATTAAATCATCATTCAGAACCAGTACTGGGTGGTTGTATGGTCTACTCTTTTCACATTTTAATCATTTCAACATTCATGTGGTTTATGCCTGGTTAAGACACGATTTCAGCAAAAGAACAATATTTTTCTTACAAAACATTGCAATTTTATTACTTTCAGAAAAAAACATTTCCAGTTTTTTGTTTAAGTTTTAGTAAACTGTTTCTCACTAATGAATCGTTTATAAGAAGTACTCTTAACTTGAAATTTCATTCGTAATATCTAAACGGAAGCTCAGCAAAGTAAATGATCATTTAAAACCAAGCTTGAGAAACTTTGGCCAGATTTACGAGAAAGAGGAAGACACATTCAGGAAACAGTGACAAGGTAAAAGCAATAATTTTTGCAAGTAACGGCTGAAAAAAAGAACAAGATTTAAAAGAAATACGCTTTACTTCCTCTCACCAACTTCAACTCTCAATGTGAAAATGACAGGAGTGCGTGTGATGCTGATGCTTTGATATTTTATCTGGTCGAAAACAAAGATGATGAAATATTATTACAGTGGTGACCACTGAATAAGTCATTCTGTCTATCATGAGGCAGAGTACCTACAAATATTGTAACAAAAAAATAAAGTAAAATAAAAAAAGAAGGAATTAAAATTATTTTGAAAGTTGCCTCTGAGGAAAACAATTAAAAACTCTTGATGTACAAATTTACACGTTTAGATTTAGCACCATTATTTTTTTTACCAAACCCAATGAAAACTTCATCTCGGATGTTTTTATATATAAATTGTAGATCTGATAGTATTTTGTGTATATAGGATATATTTTATACATTTGGAATTAAAGCTACATCTGCTTTTCTTTCAGTGAGACTTGACTCTCATGCAGGAAGAACTATTTCTGTTAAGTTTATTCCAAGATTAGATCCTAACGAATTTTAATTCAATTATTGGCTGATAAAATACTCTTAAATCCATCATAACAGAGAAGAACTGTGCTGTATGTTTTTACAGTTAGAATAAAGTTCATACTGAGCAACTAATGGGAAAATTTGGAACAAAGCTGTAATCACTTATGCTTTCTGTCAAAAACTGCACAACTAATTTGATCAATTAAAATGTTTTCCATTTTTATTTTAGGGAAACCATTTGGAGCTTGATGACATGTAATGTGTTTCTCCAGAGGTCTGTCGGTGTACGTAAAGCTGCGTGGTGAGGCCCTGATGGCTCCACAGGGGGTCCAGAGAGGAGCGTATGGGGACAAGTCAGTGGGCCTCAGTCACAGCACTTGTGTCTCTGGGGTTAGATTAAGCTTAATTAACTAAACCATCCAGCACGCTCGGATGAATGGATACAAGTCAAGGGCAGAGCAGTCGCGGGTGTGCTCACATTTTTTCCCTGGCAGGCGGCTTCGTGCTGAAAATACACGTTTGTGTAGCAGCAAAGGGAAATTAATACTCTAGCTCTACTAATGTGGCTTATTTAACCTTTAATATTATTGACTTTTGTGTGAAATAGATTGAAACCCTCAATTCGAAGTGGTTCCTCATGACACAATAGTTGTTTTATTTAAATAGGAACATATTGGACTTTTTGAGCAATGCCAAAACAACATCCCACACCAGAGAAAAAGGACTAATATACAGTATATTCCATTTCTTATATTTGATTCAGAACATTCTTTTGTCCTGAATCATTTTCTCAGTAAACGATGTTGTTGTTCAATCCTGCTTTTAGCCACGAGCCAAACAGCTGTTGTTGTTTTCTTATGAAGTTGGTGCTACCAGCCCTCCCTGGCCTTAACATCCCTTATAATTTTGTCTTTTCTCGCAGGCAACTCGCCGCTCTCTTCCACATCAACATCTCCCCTTTAATTTCTGTTATCCGTAACGATAATTGCTCCCACCATATGCGAGTTTAATTGATGCCTTTCAAATGTGTGAATGCGTGCGCACTTTGTACGCGCTGCTAATAAAGTCTTGTTGCTTGTTAATCTGGACTGTCAGGAAAATGCATGCAAATCGATTATGTGTGTCAGCCTTATCATTCTAAACAACTGTTTTGGGGAACAAATATGGATGACTTAATCCTCATATGGTGCACACTGACATGTGTGACATTTCACTAATGCAAATAATCCTGATCTACTGATCAACTTTGTCATGGAAATTAAAAAAAAATGTAAATAAATAAATAAAAGGGGATTTTGGTCCATCATTTAATCGACTCTCCAATAAAACATGAATACAAACACTTAGTCATTAAGTTTAAAATTTAAGGTGTCATCTTTTAGAATGTAATATTTGGTAGTTTTCATGCAGCGTTGTGAGTGAGCCGTACTATTTTACTGCAGTGCTGCAGTTTTCCACCAGAGGGGATCTGGTATTGAATTCTTGCAGCTTTAGCACAACACAGTCACTGGCCCATGTCATTTATTCTAATAGAATGTACTTTCTTTGTCACACACACACACACACACACACACACACACACACACACACACACACACACACACACACATCACACCCGGCGACTACAATAACAGCAGTAA